GCTAAAAATGTGGCATTTTCCAAATAGCAGTTATGGCAAAATTAAGATTCATTTATGGAGTTCAGTCCGTTTTCTTTTATTAGTTAACGGGCAGTTCTGCCACTCCAAGATGGCGGACGCGCTGACGTATCCTAGCAACGGACCAACAGTCTGTCTTTGGATAGATTAAATTACATTAAATTATGAGAAACTCATATCTCGTATCTCCTCCATTTTGTCCAGCAGCGACCGTACATTGGCAGGAAACTGCTGGGTTAAGAGAGCCGGTGTGGTGTTAGCTTTAGCCTAGCTCTCAGTCCTCCGCGCTCCCCCCGCCTTTGTTTACCATCCCGACGCCGCCTGCGAGCACTTCCGCCCGGCCGGGCAGAGTGCGTAGCCTCGGGTGTTCTGGCGGTCTCAAAGAGTCGAAAGTTTTCCATAAAACTGTCTGAAATTCAAGAGCCAATATCCAGAAGCTCACATCGGGTGTACGATGTAAAGGCACAACTGTTCTGACCTAAAACAAGCAAGAAAATCCTGTTTATGAAAGTTTAAAACTCCCCGGAGTCTGGCCCGCTCAACTTTGCAGCGAGGTGGTGTAGTGGTTAACACCGTTACCTCAAAGCCAGAGGGTTCTGGGTTCGAGTCCCAGGCCACCCGGGTTTTTTGTATGTGTGAATGTCTCCTCTCGCTCTGTCTGCGTGGATCCCCCGTCCCACCCCCCAAAAAACCTGTATGAGTTGGATCCAAGAAACCAGAATTATTTGTCAGAGCTGAGTCAGAATTATTTGTCTGAGTTGGGTCCGAAACTACAATAATATGTCAGAGTTGGTTCAGAATTATTTGTCAGAGTTGAGTCCGAACTAGAATTATTTGTCAGAGTTGGGTCAGAATTATTTGTCAGAGTTTAGTCTGAAACCCAATTCCCTGATAAATTTAGTGGTATTAAAGGGATAGTAATCGGAGAGATGAGGGACTGTGGACACAGTGGAAATCATGAGGATCATGGAATTCACAATTATGAAGGTGATGGAATTCATATTCAAAAAGGTCGAAGATTTCTTAATCACAAAGGTCCGGAAATTCATATACACAAAGGTCCTGGAATTCATCTACGCAAAGGTCCGGGAATTCATCTACACAAAGGTCCGGGAATTCATATACACAAAGGTCCGGGAATTCATCTACGCAAAGGTCCGGGAATTCATCTACGCAAAGGTCCAGGACTTCATCTACACAAAGGTCCGGGAAATCATCTACACAAAGGTCCGGGAATTCATCCACACAAAGGTCCGGGAATTCATCTACGCAAAGGTCCTGGAATACCCGGATGAAGATGATGAAAATGATCCCAGCGAGTGGGTTTAGTCCCACTATCTGACATACCTAGCGGGTGTTCGGAGGAAGTGGGCGGGGCCTCCTCGACATCGTGGGACTCCCCCCCCTTCCACTTGTAAGGGCTGAAGCGGCTCACCTGGAACAGGAAGCAGCGCTTAGAGGGCGGAGCCAGGCCCCTCACCACCTCAGTGGGCGGAGCCACGCCTCTCACCACCTCAGTGGGTGGAGCAACACCTCTTGACCTGTGCAGATGAGCTCTGTCAGGTCCTCAGCTACATATACAACCTGAGCCTCAGCCTGGGGGTGGTCCCCACCCTGTGGAAGACCTCCTGTGTTTGGTACCGGTTCCCAAAACGCCACATGCCAGGGAACCGGCCCACTTCAGACCTGTCACCCTGACCTCTCAGCTGATGAAGACCATGGAGCGCCTCGTCCTCGCCCACCTTCGCACCGTGGTGAGCACCACCCTGGACCCGCTGCAGTTTGCCTACCGGCCCAACATCGGAGCAGATGGAGTAACATCATCTACCTGCTGCAGCGAGCGCTCCCCCACCTGGAGACCACCGGGAGCGCTGTGAGAGTCATATTCTTTGACTTCTCAAGCGCTTTCAACACCATCAGACCGGTGCTGCTGAGGGGGAAGCTGGAGGACGCTGGGGTGGACAAACATCTGGTTGACTGGACCATTGACTACCTCACTGACCGTCCTCAGCACGTGCGGCTGCATGGCTGCCAGTCAGAGGTGGTACTCTGCAGTACAGGGGCCCCCCAGGGCACAGTCCTGTCTCCGTTTCTGTTCACCATCTACACCTCGGACTTCACCTACAACACGGACAGCTGTCACCTCCAGAAGTTCTCCGATGACTCGGCGATTGTGGGCTGTGTGTCTGAGGGGAACGAGCTGGAGTACCGGTCGGTCATCATGGACTTTGTGAATTGGTGTTTGAAAAACCACCTGTGTCTGAACACCAATAAGACCAAAGAGATGGTGATCGACTTCAGGAGAAGACCACCACTCCACCCCCCCCCCCCCCTGAACATCCAGGGGCAGGACATAGAAACTGTACAAAGTTTCAAATACCTGGGTGAACAACAAACTGGACTGGACTGTATAAAAAGGGCCAGAGCCGCCTTCACCTCCTGAGGAGGCTGAGGACCTTTGGAGTCAGCAGGCCCCTCCTTCAAAGCTTCTACGACTCTATAGTGGCCTCAGCCCTCCTCTACGCTGTGGTCTGCTGGGCCCCTGGCAGCACAGAGCGGGACAGGAAGAGGCTGAATAAGCTGGTGAGGAAGGCCACTTCTGTCCTGGGCTGCCCTCTGGACTCAGTGGAGGAAGTGGCTGAGAGGAGAGTGTTGTCCAAACTGAGATCCATCATGGACAACACCTC